CCCTCCCTTTCCCTTTAGCATGTCCGTCACAGGAGGCACTGTGGCATCCTTCTGAGCTTCACTTTGGTTTTTCTTTTTTTTTAAATTTCTCTCTCGGCTTCTCTCTCCTACTTTCGGTTAGTTGGAGGGTGCCGCTGATTTGTCCTGCCTGCATCTTAATGTTTCTGCTTATCATATCTTGCTTTTTCACTGGCACTGAACGGCCCTATCGTGTCGATATACTTTTCTTAACTCAAACTGCGCTATTCTTTCTCATTTTTATAAATCGAATATCTCGGTCTTTCTGCTGAGGTGTTGTATCCCTCTTATCCCTGGTTGGCCCTGACAGGCAGGGTCGGAAGCTCCCCTCTCAAATGATTTAATTCGCGTCAACGGGGGCATAAAAACGCCTACATTATTTATTTTGTCATCTTCTTTCGCTTTAGCCTTTCCCCACCCAATTTATTCCCGACCCTCCATGTTATTCCACTTTGTGGTCTGTCTGACAAACAAACACACCCACACCCGGACATACCCGCGTGACCTCGGATTTGGAACGTGCCAGCGCACTGGCTGCTCAGTGAATGAATACATTAACATTATTCGGTTTGCTCAGCCTCTCTAACGTAATCGTCCCATGCCCCAATTTTGCTCACGTTTCGTCAATGCCTGGGCACGTGGATTTGTGAGCATGTGCGCGCGAGACGGAACCGGGGTGGATTACGCTGACCAGGCGACAGAGCGGTAGTGTTGGTCGGTCTTATTTTAGCATCGCATTTTCTTGGTCGGGTCTGCAGTGCGATAAGAATAGTGAAATGAGCACTGCATGAGCATCGCAGTCTTCTTCGGGTGTCAGGTCTGGAGCAGATATTGACGATCATGGTGCCCTGAGCTTACACACTATATCTGTGGGCCTAGATGGTGCCCCATTCCTTCCTGGCTTCCTGCTTTCTGTCTTCTTGATTCGCTCGGTTTTTCTCTTTGTGTTATTCGTTGCATCGCAGTACATGTTTTATTGCGAATGGTGGACTGCCAGCCAAATGCCGCCTGGCTGCAGGTGGCTGGAGGGCACCACTGGTAGGTTCTACTTTACCCCCCCCCCCACCCTGTTATTTTTTGTTTTTTGTCCGTCTTGCTTTTCCCCTGAACTAAAAGATCGTAATTGTGTCGGTGTGCATATTTTTTAAAACTCAAACTCATCAGCCTGATCTGAGAACATTGGGAACTTGAAAGCTAGAAAAAGCCCTCTCGAGCCAGCAAGTTCACCTTGACACACACACACACACACATGGAGAATGCGAAAGACACTGTATGAGTTGGATTATAAATATAACCGACGCTTTCTTGCTCGCGCTAGATTTTGATAGTGGGAAGCGTTTTCTGCTTTCTTGGCCCTGCACGTCTTCTGTGTGTGTGTTCCTTCTTTCCTGTCTTGTCAAACATCTGTCGTCATTATCTCTCCTCCGTCTTTTCTGTTTTCTACTCTCTAGTAACACCTCGAATCTTTAGCATTTACAAGATCTAGTTGTGTCGCAAGTGCCGTAAAACTCTTATTAAAACCAAACTGAAGCGACAGGTCCTCTTTTAGACATGGGGGTGTTTAACCAGCGACGAGTGCTTAATAATATGCTCTCCGGTCTTAGTCTTGCACCACTGAGATGAGGGTTCGGTTCCTTTTAACAGTCTCATTTCACCCCCTCCCCCCTTT